GTCTAGGTAGATAATGTGTTGTTTAATTGTATCATTTTCTGTTAATATATATTTTTTGATTTATTGTAATAAAAAAGTTAGTTTTTAGTTATACAAAATTATTTTAAATGAAAAAGAAGAATCCAAATTTTTACAATGTAGTTCTGTCCATTTCTCGACAGAAATTCATTCCCTCTCATATTCGCTATAAATTTTCAGTCTTATAACTGTTCTTTTTTAATTTATTATTTATTTGGAAATGTATATTTTAGTTTTTCTATTTTTCAAAATTTCTCTATTATGTTTAAAAAATACCCAAATTTCCAAAATTTTTGTCCTGAAGCATAAACTGTTACTTTAGTTGTATAGTTTTGTGTAAGATAATAGAGAAATAGACAAATTTCCAAAAATTTACGTAAGATAATAGTTTGACTTTAGTTGTATCGTTTTGTGTTAATAACTTTTTTTATGATTTATTGTAATCAAAATAGTTTCGATTCTAATTACGCAAAATTATTTTAAATAGAAAAAGAAGAATTCAATTTTCTACTATATAGGCATATACATTTCGAGACAGCAAATCCATCCTCTCCCATATTCGCCAAGAATTTTCATTCTCATAACTATTCTCTTTCAAATTACTATCCGTTTGAAAATGTATATTTTAGTTTTTTATATTTCTCGAAATTTCTCTATTATGTTTTCAAAATACCCGAATTTTCAAAAATGTCGTCCCAAAGTAAACTGTTACATGTTTTGAAATGGATCACTACCCAAATTAATGAGTTGAAAATTGAATTTAGTTACCTAAAATTTGTAATCACGTGATGTTACCCGTAATTTCCATCCCATTATTCATAATTTTCATCCCGTTACACGTAATTCTCATCCCATTTCGGTTTTGTCCCATCCCGTTCCCGTCCCAGATTTTAACTGGGACATAAATGGAACCACTTTTACGATTTCCAAATTTCTCTCCCGGTCCCAGATTTTAATTGGGACATAAATGAAACCTTCTTTTTATTTCTAAATTTTCGTCCCAGTCTCAACCCGTCCCATCCCGTTCCTGTCCTGAATTTTAACTGGAACATACCTCTTTTTCGATTTCTGACCTGTATACGTAAGATAATAGTTTGACTTCAATTGTATATTTTTGTGTTAATAACTTTTTTTTTTATTATAATCAAAATAGTTTCGATTCTAATTATTGCGGTGTCCACGAAATAAACAATTTTTTAACACTATTAATGTATTTCAGGTTAAGATTTTTAATATGAAAAAACTAAGATTAGTATAGTCGCCTAAACTATTTATGTTATATAATACGCTCCATTTTAGAAAATGTTAATTTTCACTTTGTCAGTGTAATTATATTTCAAAATTTAAAATTTACATTGGAGATAAGAAAAGAAAAATAAGGATATTTGTAATATATTAAAATAGATAAAATTGATAATCAAGCTTTATTACTTTTATTTTATGAAATATGACATAACAAATTACAATAGATATGTTTTTGTAATTTTAGTATGTAAGCAAAAGTAAAAAGTCAAACGACATAATGTTAATTGGTAAAATACCAAAGACCTTCCCCGCCTCTTCGTTCTTCTTCTTCTCATTGTCTTTTCTTCTTTCTTCTCACATTTTACTTTCATTGCCAGTGGCTTCCCTATCTGCGGACACCCTACCCAAACTCGTCTCTATTTATTGAAAGATAATTCTTTCCCAAACAATTTTGTTTCCTGTTATATCAACCCAGTTGACACTGAGAATATATAAATCAACTTCAATCTAGTAAAGCAGCCAATAAAAGTACTTACCACAAGTGATCTCTTCATCAATGTGGAAATAATATTTTCCCTTGTAAGTTTGGATTTTTGTATAAATTCACATATTACAAAAGATCAAAAAATTGAAAGGGGATTCATTAAGCTGTTCAATAATGACTATTGCAATGTTGAACACATAATTGTATCTACTTGTATTAATGAGTTAAACGAACACACATTTTATCCATTTACCCTATTGAATAACATTAAGAAAACAAACAAATAAGAGCCAGACAAATTCTAAAACACCAACCCATCACGAACTCTTAAGCGGTAGATAAGTCTCACTGAAATGACTATAGTTTTTAAGAATAGGGTCAAAGAATTTACTCTGAATTCAATGTTATTTAGATTCTCAATTGCTTCAGAAGCTAACTCCTTGTTTTCGAATGTTACAAATGAATAATACTTTTATTCACCATATTTTTTTTTTACCTCATTATTTTAACTTGTTGATATCAGAACCAAGTTAGCATTAGAATATTAGATGTACACAAAACAGAAGGCTTCATGCAATATAAGTTATCAAAAACAAAATACTGACTTACCAACTCAGCTACTTGTTTGGATGCACCAAAATCAGCAAGTTTAATGAATCCTTTATTATCCACAAGAATATTAGCCCCTGAGAATAGAGAAACATAGAGTCTCATTGAGAAAGAACTTGAGATTGTAATCACTTTTAAGGTATGGGGAAATTCTGCTACCTTAATGTCTCTGTGCATGATTGTGAAGGTACTCCAACCCTAGAAGTAGTTGCCTCGTGTTAGTCGGCACAACCGCACAACCTGATTCAATCATTCTCAAACATTTTAAGCGATGGCAAAAATAAATACAAGCATGACTTACTGATTCAGGAAAAGGTCCAAATTTCTCCAAGAGCGATGATCAGGCTGGCGATGATATAGATCCACCGGGAACAAACTCGGGAAGGATATTCAGGGTGTCATCTTCCCTCACTGTGCCCAAATATCGCTAAGGCCAAGGAAAAAAATATGTACGTGAGTTAGATATCACAAAGGAAGTACTGGAACCCATATGCATTGAGAAGAAGACAATAGCCACTGTTACTTACAGCTATATTTGGATTGGAGAGATTTTTAAGAAGCTTAACTTCTTCTTCAAGCTCCGTAATAACTAACAATAGCTTCTTGAAGCCTACTTAGCACTAACACAGAAAACAAATTCATGAAATACTCAGATCGTAAAAAACTCATTGGAAAGTGAAAAAGGAAAAAAAATCTGTATAAATGATAAATAATAAACAATTTTAGGTGCTAATAACATAGCAAAGTAGAGGATGCTATATTAAACCTATCAGAGAAGACAAATGGAACAAAGCAGAGAACTCTCATCAATCTCTAAAAACATAGTCGGCTTTCTCAGTTCTAACCAAACTTTAATTCATGAGAGAGACAAAACTTTTTATTAACCACATGTCGAAAAAAACTTTTTATACATTATGTCGAAACATTGAAATTTGAAAGTTAAAACTTTAGAGAACAGCTACAGCATAACATAGGTCACCGGCCGGATTTTAAGTTGAATATTACAATGATATACTACCAGTCTACCATCCAACATGTACATACGAGGGCGGTGGCTTTTTAGAAAAAATCAATACACATTTAAAATAGTAACAAATTAATGAAACAAATGTTGAGATTGGAAAAAAAGATTCTTTCAGTTTCTCAGGGAAAGAAAAATAAATAAATTTAATGAGCAAAAAAAAGATACTTTGTGTCTGGATCCAAAACAAGTACAGTGTGACACATTAAAGATAAGATATCTTATCTCAGTTTTTGTGGGTTTCTTTTTTTGTTTTGTCTTGTCAATGCGATGTCCGGATAATTTTCAGTTACAAATTCAAAATTTACGAACCGTATAGACAATAGATAACCGACAAAGTACCGGAATGTAGGATGTTTGAGTGAACCAAAAACCAAATTCCGGTTTAATCCAGTTTGGTTTATAATTTTGCAATTATGTATTCTTGGTCCATGAGGACCATGATTCCTTCTTCTCCATGTCGAATCATCCCTTTAGACGAATTCGGTTTCACTCACATCGGTCGCCTCGAGCTCGACGCCTCCAAGATCTCGCTTTCCAACCCCAATCCCGATCTGGATCTCTCCAAAGTCGGCTTCTTCCGAGACGCTTGGGTTCATGTTTAGGGTCTTTTAATTTTTTTTTTTTGTTGTTGTTGTAAACTGCCGAAAAAAGAAAATTTGGAAAACCTAGGCATTTTCTGTAGAAGGAATGGACGGTGTCGATTAAAACAAACGAAGATCCGCGTGTTTTCTAAGTCGGGTTGAATAGGATCCGCATTTTTATCCGTTTACCCATTGTGATTTTTTATGATTTTAAGTCAATAATTATAATTAGAGAAGCGGGAGTAAAAAAACATCTGGTGCGGACGGTGTTGGAATCTTACCATGGACCCGCATCCACGCGTCTCTCCATCGATCGGTACAAGATCTCCATTGTCGCCGTCTTCCTCTTCATGAGAAAGCTTCTTCTCGGCCAAATTCTCCGGGTAACATCATCCCTAGCTTTGCAATTTTTCTTTGATTTTTATTGTTTCAATTCGCTGAGCTAGTTTTCTGCTAGCTCTATCAAAATTTTAACCTAGAATTTAAATCTAACAGGATTCTTGATTGTTATAATGAGAATGCTTGAATTGAATTTTGTGTGTTTAGGATATATGAATGAGTTTTAAATTCAAATAGATGCAGAGCTCTCTGAAACTGTGAAATAAGATTGAAACACTATTCTTGAATAAAGAAACTCAACAACAACAACAACAATATTGATTTTTATTATATGATGATTGATAATTATGGTGAAGTGATAATGCTTTATCAGTCATTAACCACTATAAGTATAAACAACAATGGGGCTTCTCACGTTATGTTTTCCATCAGACCATATTAGATTTGCAGATGAAGGCAGATTTGTGTTGAGATTGCTGCCTGAAACAGTCACTGTGAAAGACTGCTTCTCCTTCACGGACTTCATAGATAGAACACTTGGGGAGACCTTGACTTTGAGTTTAGATCCGTGATTTATGACAATCTTTGATTTGTATGTTGAGTTTGGGGTACCGAGGTTGGTCACGGTTCTGTTGAATGTCACAGTGAAGGAGCTATTAGATTCCGAAAGTTTAGCCGACATTGAAGGATAGTTGAGGTTTCTTGGTAAGCTCTTTCCAGTGCAAGTGATGGCTTCACCGGCGATGAGCTGAAGAGTTTTTGAAGAGTAGTTCAAACCGCAAAGAAAGGCGATGTGGTCTGCTTTGTCTAATTCATAGACGAGTCCGGGATTAAGAGCGGCTATTGGGTCGACATGTCCTGCTCCATAAGAAAACTTCGGTTGATGCAACCCCGGTTCCGGTAGCATTCATCCGCCAAGCTGCAAAGATTAATTAATAGACTGTTTATGAACAGAGTTGCCAATAAAGTTATTTGCAAGACAAGATAGTAAAAGCTGGATATGAGTTTTGCAAGACAAGAAAGTAAAAGATGTATATGACTTGTTTACCAGTTGTCATGATGGCAGATTGGATCATGGAAGGAGACCATTCAGGATGAAAAGTCTTGATGTACGCAGCCACGCCTGCAACGTGTGGACAAGCCATCGAAGTTCCGGACAGAACAGAGTACTTCACATGTCTTTTATCAAACCATACCTCAGATGGTGAATTCAAAGGTGAATACGCAGCGAGAATCTCCACTCCTGGTGCTGTTACATCTGGCTGCAATACACACCACCAACCATTGTCTCTCAGGCCAGGAAATAAAATAAATAATCAAGAGCACAAAAATGTTTTACCTTTAGAATATCAACCGCAATAGTATTTGGACCGCGAGAAGAGAAGGAAGCAACTTTAGGAGCTTTCTGATTAAAGATTGCTTTACTTTTTAGAACAGTTCCTTGCGGGGACCTGAGAATACAAACACAGAGATATCAAGACAAAGTAGGGGATCTAGACCAAATGAATAATAGAGAAGATCGTTCGTTACTTTGTGGAGTTAACGTAAGAGACGACAGAGTCAAAGTCATCTTGTGACAGGGCAGAGGAGGGCTGAGGGCTAACGGAGGCATAGTCTTGGTCACCAAGATTTATGGTTCCAACAGCTATGTTTGAACTAAGTTGATATTTACTCACCAAGATTTTTCCCCTAAGCAGAGGTTCTTTAAGAAGAGTTCCATACACAAGAGGATAATTCTTTCCTTTCAAATCAAAAGCGTTCAATGATTTCCCCTGTTTAGACAAAAAACAAGAGAATCATTTGTCACTGAGAGGGACAAAGATACTATGATGATAGAAATGTGAGTGTTACTTGATACTTACAACAAGTGTCTTCCCGTTTCCGAGTACAACTTTGGTGACAAACCCACGGTTGGTGGTGCTCGCTGCAACTGTCAAGATCCACGGTGCTACACTTATGACTGAGCCCGGATCCGGACCATCGTTACCGGCTGAGTTCACAGTAAGAATCCCTTTGACCATAGCGTGAAAAGCCCCAATCGCCATTGGGTCCTTTTCGTATTTGTGGACAAAGCGTTCCCCGATAGAGATGCTGATGAGGTCAACACCGTCTGCTATCGCATCATCGAACGCCGATAGTATAGATTCATCGCTACACCCTGTCTCGCCACATGCTTTGTAAGCTGCGATTCTTGAGGCTGGAACGCCGCCTCTCGCAGTTCCATTACCGATTCCATAGTAACTTGTGTTCTCAACTGCATTTCCAGCCGCTGTGGATGCTGTGTGTGAACCGTGGCCTATGCTATCCCTAGTGCCTTCGCTTGTGTAGTCTCTTGCTCCAATCAACTTGCTGAAATATTGTAAACACATCAATCTCTGCCTACACTACTAATCTTCTGTTAGAAAAATTAAGAGAATTACTTGTTGCATGTGAAGTTTTCGCCGCCGGAGCAAACACCTTTCCATTTCTTAGGAGGAGGACCAAAGCCTTTATCAGAGAAGCTCTCGGATTCTGGCCAAATCCCACTGTCGATGACTCCAACAATAATATCACTCTCTATTGCTAAGTTACGCTTTGTATTCTTTCCTCCCTTTAGCCCCATGAAGTCCCAAGACGCCGTCGTTTGGAGTTTGTAGTTCTTGCTCGGGAACACTGACACAACTCCCTCCATTTCTAATAACACAAAAAGGTCTCAAGTATTTTTAACCTTTAAAAAACATATCATCATAAATGTGTATTGATCAAAGAACACGAACCGGCTACTCTTTCTCGTTCTGACTCGGTGAGTCGAGCCGCAAACCCGTTGAAACTCCTCTTGTAACTTCTCACCAAATGTCCTTCGATCGAACTACAGTATACATGTGTATATATCACTTGCTATAATCCTCATCATAATGTAAGCTAATTATGACCAATCATTGATTAGAGAATGAAATTATAAAAGCACACCTTTCTCCGGTGACTTCTTGAAGAATACTCATATGATGCGACATTGGTGTGTATTCCAGTCGAGACGGAAGTGAGCCCATGTAGACAACATACACCTTCTGAATTACATCATCATTATCATCATGTATGATGGATCGTATACTAGAGAGAAACAATATATATTTGATAATGATAATACTCGATAATCTTAAGTTATGCTAACTCACTTTTTTATCTTGAGAATCATCTGTCACTGCAGAGCCTAAAATCAAAAACGAGACAAGAACACATGATATGAAACAAAAGGAATCTGCTCGTTTCGCCATCTTTTTCTTATAAAATGAATTAAAGGTTGTCTAATTTCTCAGCTTTATCTAGATCAACATGATATAAATATAAAACCAGTAAATTACCATAATTTTAATGATATTTCTGTCAAATGCTTAATGCTGTCCTTGTATGTTGACCAAAACTCTTTTGGTAACTAAGTATTGTATGTTGACCAAATACATTTTTAGGAAACAGATATCATTAGAACTCAATTTTGTTTTTGTTTTTTCAACTCCTTATGAAAATCATTTTTTTTTACAACTGATTTTTTCTCGATCGTTAAGGACTTTATTTTTATTTTGCATTATATAATGACATAATCAGAAAACAGATATGGAGTAAACATTTTTTTTGAAGAAATATATGAACAGCAAAATATTATGATATGATTGATGACTATATGGTGAACTGATAATGCCTCATCAGTAACTATCACTGTACACGACAATAGGGCTTCTCACGTTATGTGTTCCATCAGACCATATTAGATTTGCAGACGAAGGCAGTTCTGGGTCGAGATTGCTGCCCGAAACAGTCACTGTGAAAGACTGTTTCTCCTTCACCGACTTCATAGAAAGGACACTAGGCGAAACCTTGACATTGAGCTTAGATCCATGATTTAAGACAATCTTTGATTTGTATGTAGAGTTGGTGGTACCGAGGTTGGTGACGGTTCTTTTGAAAGTCACGGTGAAGGAGCTTTTAGATCCCGAAAGTTTAGCTGACATCGAAGGATAGTTGAGGTTTCTTTGTAAGGTTTTTCCACTGCAAGTGACGGCTTCACCTGAAATTAGTTTTAGGGTTTTCGAAGTGTAGTTTAAGCCGCAGAGAAAGGCGATGTGGTCTGTTTTGTCCAACTCATAGACAAGTCCAGGATTTAGAGCGGCTACTGGGTCGACATGGCCAGCTCCATAAGCAAACTCGGTCGATGCAGCCTCAGTTCCAGTCGCATTCATCCGCCAAGCTGCAAAGATTCATTAAGAGACAGTATAAGAACAGAGTTGTCAACAAACGTTACTTGCGAGGCAAGAAAGTAAAAGTTGGCTTTTTGATTACCGGTTGTCATGATGGCAGATTGGATTACGGAAGGAGACCATTCAGGATGAAAAGTCTTGATGTACGCAGCCACGCCTGCAACGTGTGGACAAGCCATAGAAGTTCCAGACATAATAGAGTACTTTACATGTCTTTCATCGCTCCTGTCGTCAGATGGTGAACTCAAAGGTGAATACGCAGCGAGAATCTCCACTCCTGGTGCTGATATATCTGGCTTCAATCCATGCACCAACCATCGTCTCTCAGGCCAGGAAAGAAAAAAAAAGAATCAAGAGCATAAAATAAATTATACCTTAAGAATATCAACCGCAATAGTGTTTGGACCGCGAGAAGAGAAGGAAGCCACTTTAGGAGATGACTGATTAAAGATTGCTTCAGTTTTAAGAACAGACCCTTGCGGGGACCTGAAAAAACAATCACAAGGGTTGGACAAAGAAGGAGAATGTTAAGAGTAATGAAATAGAGAGAAGATTGTTATCTACCTTGTGGAGTTAATGTAAGAGACGAGAGAGTCAAAGTCATCTTGTGATAAAACAGAGAGGGGCCGAGAGCTAATGGATGCAAAGTCTCTGTTGTCTGTAGTTATGGATGCAACAGCTACTTCTGACCTAGTTGAATATCTGGAAACCAAGATCTTTCCTTTCACCAGAGATTCTTTCAAATAATCTCCGTACACAAGAGGATACTTCTTTCCTTTCAGATCAAAAGCATTCACTGATTTCCCCTGTTAAGAAAAACAATAGAGTTATTGGTAGTTTAATGGGACAAAGATACTATGATGATAGAAATGAGTGTTACTTGATACTTACAACAAGTGTCTTGCCATTTCCAAGAAAAACTTTGGTTAAAAGCCTACGGTTGGTGGTGGTAGCTGCAACCGATAACACCCACGGTGCTACGCTCACAACTGTGCTCGGATTCGGACCAGAGTTACCGGCTGAGTGCACTGTGAGAATCCCTTTGGCCATAGCGTGAAACGCCCCGATCGCAATCGTGTCCTCTTCATATAAGGAGGGGTTATCTCCCCCCAGAGAGACGCTGATGAAGTCAACACCGTCTGCAATCGCATCATCAAAGGCAGACAGTACGTTATCATCGCTACACCCTGTCATGGTGCAGACTTTGTAAGCTGCGACTCTAGAGGCTGGAACACCGCCTCTCGCTGTTCCATTGCCTATTCCAAAGAAGCTTGTATCCACAACTGCGTTTCCAGCCGCTGTGGACGCTGTGTGAGTACCATGTCCTTGGAGGTCCCTAGTACCTTCACTTGTGTAATCTCTTGCCCCGATTAACTTACTGAAACAATGTAAGCACATCAATCTCTGCCTAAAACATTACTAATCTTCTATTAGAGAAATTTAATGACTTACTTATTGCACGTGAAGTTTTTGCCGCCTGAACAAACACCTTTCCATTTCTTAGGAGGAGGACCAAAGCCTTTATCAGAGAAGCTCTCGGATTCTGGCCAAATCCCACTGTCGATGACTCCGATAATAGTATCACTCTCTACGGCCAAGTTTGGCTTTGTATTCTTCCCTTCCTTCATTCCCATGAAGTCCCATGACGCCGTCGTTTGGAGTTTGTAGTTCTTGCTCGGGAACACAGACACAACTCCCTCCATTTCTAACCAACACAAAAAAGTATTTTAACCTTTAGAAACATTTCATCATAAAATGTGTCTCGATCAAAGAACACTAACCGGCTACTCTTTCTCGTTCTGACTCCGTGAGTCGGGCTGAGAAACCATTGAAACTCCTTTTGTAACTTCTCACCAAACGACCTTCGATCGAACTAGAGTATAAATATGTGTATATCACTTGTTATAATCCATATAACGTAAACTAATTATGACCAATCATGATAA